ATACATAGGCTGAAGGTGAAAGGTTGGGAAAAATCATATCACTCATATGGACTTTGGAAACAAGCAGGTGTGTCCATACTCATATCAAATAAAATAGATTTCAAGCCCAAGTTAATCAAAAGGGATAAAGAGGGACACTACATACTGCTCAAGGGAACCATACACCAACAAGACATAACAATCATAAATATATATGCCCCTAACAATGGTGCAGCTATGTTCATCAAACAAACTCTTCTCAAGTTCAAGAGTCTAATAGACCACCATACAATAATCATGGGAGACTTAAACACACCTCTCTCACCAATGGACAGATCTTCCAAACAAAAGTTGAATAAGGAAACTATAGAACTCAATAACACAATTAATAACCTAGACTTAATTGACATATATAGAATATACTACCCAATATCAAGCAGTTACACTTTTTTCTCAGCAGCACTTGGATCCTTCTCAAAAATAGATCACATATTATGTCACAGGGCAACTCTTAGACAATATAAAGGAGTAGAGATAATACCATGCATCTTATTTGATCATAATGGAATGAAACTGAAAATCAACGATAAAAGAAGGAAGGAAAAAGCATACATCACTTGGAGAATGAACAATAGGTTACTGAATGATCAATGGGTTATAGAAGACATCAAGGAGGAAATTAAAAAATTCTTAGAGATAAATGAAAACACAGACACAACATATCGGAATCTATGGGACACATTGAAAGCAGTTCTAAGAGGAAAATTCATTGCTTGGAGTTCATTCCTTAAAAAAAGAAAAAACCAACAAATAAATGATCTCATACTTCATCTCAAAATCCTAGAAAAAGAAGAGCAAAACAACAGCAAAAGAAGTAGAAGGCAAGAAATAATTAAAATCAGAGCTGAAATTAATGAAATCGAAACAAAAGAAACAATTGAAAAAATTGACAAAACTAAAAGTTGGTTCTTTGAAAAAATAAACAAAATCGACAGACCCTTAGCCATGCTAGCGAAGAGAAGAAGAGAGAGAACTCAAATTACTAGCATACGGGATGAAAAAGGCAATAACACAACAGACACTTCAGAAATACAGAAGATAATCAAAAATTATTTTGAATCCTTATACTCCAATAAATTAGAATCTAGTGAAGGCATAGATACATTTCTTAAGTCATATGATCTGCCCAGATTGAGTCAGGAAGATATAGACAACCTAAACAGACCAATATCAATTGAGGAAATAGAAGAAACCATCAAAAGACTACCAACTAAGAAAAGCCCAGGACCGGATGGGTATACAGCAGAGTTTTACAAAACCTTTAAAGAGGAACTAATACCAATACTTTTCAAGCTACTTCAGGAAATAGAAAAAGAGGGAGAACTTCCAAATTCATTCTACGAGGCCAACATCACCCTGATACCTAAACCAGACAAAGACACTTCAAAGAAAGAAAACTACAGACCAATATCTCTAATGAACCTAGATGCAAAAATCCTCAATAAAATTCTGGCCACTCGGATACAAAGGCACATCAAAAAAATTGTGCACCATGATCAAGTAGGATTCATCCCTGGGATGCAAGGCTGGTTCAATATAAGGAAATCAATAAATGTTATTCACCACATCAATAGACTTAAAAATAAGAACCATATGATCATCTCGATAGATGCGGAAAAAGCATTCGACAAAGTACAGCATCCCTTTATGTTCAAAACTCTAGAAAAACTAGGGATAACAGGAACATACCTCAATATTGTAAAAGCAATCTATGCTAAGCCTCAGGCTAGCATCATTCTGAATGGAGAAAAATTGAAGGCATTCCCTCTAAAATCTGGAACAAGACAGGGATGCCCTCTCTCACCACTTCTGTTCAACATAGTTCTCGAAACACTGGCCAGAGCAATTAGACAGACGAAAGAAATTAAAGGCATCAAAATAGGAAAAGAAGAACTTAAATTATCACTATTTGCAGATGACATGATTCTATACCTAGCAGACCCAAAAGGGTCTACAAAGAAACTATTAGAGCTAATAAATGAATTCAGCAAAGTGGCAGGATATAAAATCAACACGCATAAATCAAAGGCATTCCTGTATATCAGCGACAAATCCTCTGAAATGGAAATGAGGACAACCACTCCATTCACAGTATCTTCAAAAAAAATAAAATACTTGGGAATCAACCTAACAAAAGAGGCGAAAGACTTATACAATGAAAACTACAGAACCCTAAAGAGAGAAATAGAAGAAGATCTTAGAAGATGGAAAAATATACCCTGTTCATGGATAGGCAGAACTAACATCATCAAAATGGCCATATTACCAAAAGTTCTCTATAGGTTTAATGCAATGCCAATCAAAATCCCAACGGCATTTCTTGTAGAAATAGAGAAAGCAATCATGAAATTCATATGGAAAAATAAAAGACCCAGAATAGCAAAAACAATGCTAAGCAGGAAGTGTGAATCAGGCGGTATAGTGATACCAGACTTCAAACTATACTACAGAGCAATAGTAACAAAAACAGCATGGTACTGGTACCAAAACAGGCGGGTGGACCAATGGTACAGAATAGAGGACACAGAAACCAATCCACAAAACTACAACTATCTTATATTTGATAAAGGGGCTAAAAGCATGCAATGGAGGAAGGATAGCATCTTCAACAAATGGTGCTGGGAAAACTGGAAATCCATATGCAACAAAATGAAACTGAATCCCTTTCTCTCGCCATGCACAAAAGTGAATTCAAAATGGATCAAGGAGCTTGATATCAAATCAGAGACGCGCCGTCTGATAGAAGAAAAAGTTGGCTACGATCTACAGTCGGTGGGGTCGGGCTCCAAATTCCTCAATAGGACACCCATAGCACAAAAGTTAATAACTAGAATCAACAAATGGGACTTACTCAAACTAAAAAGTTTTTTCTCATCAAAAGAAACAATAAGAGAGGTAAATAGGGAGCCTACACCCTGGGAACAAATCTTTACTCCTCACACTTCAGATAGAGCCCTAATATCCAGAGTATACAAAGAACTCAAAAAATTAGACAATAAGAGAACAAACAACCCAATCAACAAATGGGCCAAGGACCTGAACAGACACTTCTCAGAGGAGGACATACAGTCAATCAACAAGTACATGAAAAAATGCTCACCATCTCTAGCTGTCAGAGAAATGCAAATCAAAACCACCCTAAGATACCATCTCACTCCAGTAAGATTGGCAGCCATTATGAAGTCAAACAACAACAAGTGCTGGCAAGGATGTGGGGAAAAGGGTACACTTGTACATTGCTGGTGGGACTGCAAATTGGTGCAGCCAATTTGGAAAGCAGTATGGAGATTTCTTGGAAAGCTGGGAATGGAGCCACCATTTGACCCAGCTATTCCCCTTCTCGGTCTATTCCCTAAAGACCTAAAAAGAGCATGCTACAGGGACACTGCTACATCGATGTTCATAGCAGCACAATTCACAATAGCAAGACTGTGGAGCCAACCTAGATGCCCTTCAATAGACGAATGGATAAAAAAAATGTGGCATTTATACACAATGGAGTATTACTCTGCATTAAAAAATGACAAAATCATAGAATTTGCAGGGAAATGGATGGCATTAGAGCAGATTATGCTAAGTGAAGCTAGCCAATCCCTAAAAAACAAATGCCAAATGTCTTCTTTGATATAAGGAGAGTAACTAAGATCAGAGTAGGGACGAAGAGCAGGAGAAGAAGATTAACATTTAACAGGGATGAGAGGTGGGAGGGAAAGGGAGAGAGAAGAGAAATTGCATGGAAATGGAAGGAGACCCTCAGGGTTATACAGTGGAGGGGGTAGAGAGAGAGGAGGGGAGGAGAGGGGAGAGGTGGGGAGGGGGGATGGTGGAGGATGGGAAAGGCAGCGGAGCACAACAGACACTAGTATGGCAATATGTAAATCAATGGATGTGTAACTGATGTGATTCTGCAATCTGTGTATGGGGTGAAGGTGGGAGTTCATAACCCACTTGAATCAAAGTGTGGAATATGATATGTCAAGAAATTTGTAATGTTTTGAACAACCAACAATAAAAAATTAAAAAAAAAAGAAAGAATTATGTGGAAAAAAAAAAGGGGGGGAGACTGGATAACAAACAAGCATGAAATTTTATAAAGTGGTATCACAACAGTTTCCTCTTCTAACCCAGCACTGCTAATTAATAAGACCCAGTCTCCCAGTAACATCAACTAACAAGTGTGGAGTGGGTTGGTGATGAGATAGAACAGGTCACTGAGACGTTTCTGATGTATTTCTCCTTCTGGATTCTTCTTGCTGAGAATGACTTGTCTGTATGTCACAGTACTCAAAATTATAGATGCCTGCTGGAAAATTTTGCCTCATTAAGTTCTGGCCTGTGATAAGCTGCCATAATTTTATAAAAAATAAAGAAGTTAGTTATTTGGCATGCATTTTGAAATACTTAAGTAAACATGTGCATAAATTCCACTTGAATTTTTATTGAAATTGACACAAAGTGCATGCAGATTTAAAACTAACCTGGAACTGAGTTTTCCAACTTTGAAGAAGTAACTGAACCTGTTTGATTCTCAGTGTCTAGTAAAATGGGATCGGTTCATATCTCAAATAGTTGTCAAGAACATTCAATAAAAGAGTTCTTGGTATGATAGCTGGCAAATAATGCTTGGGCAATAAAATGCTTAATAAAGCATTTGTTCTTTCCCTCATCTTGGGTACCCACAATTACACTTAAGTAATGATTCAAATGTATGATATGTCAAGGTTATTGTACTGGCATGTGTAACTAATTAAAACAAACAAAAAAAGAACATAAAATTTAAAAAAATAAAATAAAATAAAAATTATTAAAACTGGAATTCGTAGAAGTAAGAAATACTTGAGTAGAAGATGAGGGGCTTTGAGGCACATGATAGTCTTAAGTAGCTTATCAGTTTGGGGATATTCCTTTCTTCTATCATAATACATATTCTATGCCTAAAATTCTCTAATTTCCTCTTTCAGGTGAATGGCATTGACCTCCGTGGAGCATCTCATGAACAGGCAGCTGCTGCATTAAAGGGAGCTGGACAGACGGTGACCATTATAGCACAATATCAACCTGAAGGTCAGTCAGAACCCAAACTTACAATGTTCTGATATGTCTCTGTGTGAAAGTGAATCCACATTACTGATCGCCTGTATTAACCATAGTCACCATCAACAATTTTTAAAGCTAACTATAGGGAAAACTTCATAATTAATGTCCAAAGAACATGAGACCCTCAATGACAAGATTAGGCAATTGGCCAAAGAAAATATCAGGAAAACATCAGGCAGTTAGGCTCATATAAAAACTTGAATTCAAATAAATATCAACCAACATCAGCTTTATTTCATTTATATTTTTATCTAATATGCATTTTTGGTCACTAATGGATACTATAAAGACAATTTAGATTTATGAAGCAAGGGATAGATATTTCATTTATACAAGTAGACTATATTCTCTCCTTGTGGCATTAATTTAGTTCTCATGAACACTACTATGGTTTAGATGTCCCCTTCCCCCTCTTTTCTGCTATACTGTTCCTTGTTTGGAATAAATCACTGCAAAAACTGAGACTTGGTAAGATGGCATTGTCATCAGTTGGATTAGCCAACTAAAAATTGATAAGATATCTGAAACTGGATTAGCTATACCCTGCTCTTTCATTTATTTAAACTTCTGTTTATGTGTTCAGAATGAGGCTCAACAAGACAACTGGGATATTACTTCTTGTATGATTTATTTCTTAGAAAATTCATTTATAGATTGCTTTCTGGCTAGTAAAACATACTAAGCACATTCTGTACTCCTGTGGACTAGACCTTGTTAAAAAAAAAAAAAAAAGAACATGGCTTCTGTCTTCAAGAAACGGAGTTGATTGTTTTTGTTTTGTGGTTAGCAGAGAGAGTTTTAAACACCTGAAAATGAGAGTTGAAAATGTCATTAAGGAGGAGCCTCTGTGCTTGTGGGTGTCAGGTGCTCCTTTGGTCTTTTCAAATGATTATTAATTTCATCGCCTGTTTGGAAGACTGAGGCTTGTGTCTTGCCTGTAGCAATTTAGGTTTTATTATCTATTATGGTGGCCAATTTGCATATGCAGAACAGGATAAAGAAAACATTTTCTTCAATGTGTATGTTAGTATGTTACCTTTATTTCTTCCTTTATAACTGACTTTAGAATTAGAATTTGCAAGTAAGTTCTACAAAATTTTTTATAAATATTTTGTCCTATTGGCCTATGACACATATGGCTAGACCACTGGTGGAAAGATTTGTGATGGTCAGAGATGGATGATGCCAGCGACCATGGAACGTGCTCTTCCCGGACAGATTTGGGAAGTCTTTTTACTTCTTAAATTTTAGTACATCTTTTTTTCAAATAAAAGTAAAGCAAATATTATAAGACAGAAAATGAAAATAACTGACTTAATACCATTTGATTAACAGATTTTACATCATATAGAGTAAGAACTTTTTCACTGGAAGCCTCCATTTCCTTCATTGCTGTTTTCTGTCAGTTTCTAACACTATGCCCTTCCCTATACCCTGGGACATGGCGTAAAAGTTTTGTCCTTGACTGCTTTCCTATATTTGAATATTTTATCTTAAATAAGTCTGCAGATTGATAAAGTGATTAGAACTATAGAAGGTCTTAAGAGTGGTCAAATAACCATGAAAACAATGATTCCAGGTTTTGAAGTTTACAATAAAAGACAAACATGTTCTCATTCTATCAGTATAAATCCTCAACTTTTTACAGAAACTTTCTGTAGCTTGGTTTCCTTAAGCAATATACTTAATTTGGATAATGTGCTGTACTTTATCAAGATGCCTATTCTAAACATGTTTTATAAATCACATAATTGGCTTTAAAGTGCTCTAAAGAAACCTGCAAATAATAACAGCAAACTTCTTTCAGAATGCCAAAATACAGATTTTTTGAATTTACAAAATGACTTCCCTATTGTAATAGTCTGTAGTCTAATTTGTCACTACTTTAAATCAGTTGAAAATGTAGTAAAAGAAAAATGAAGCAATCAGTTTTATTCTCCCCTTTTCAAACTTTATGTGTAACCAAGCCTTAATTGAACTATTGTTCAGACTGGAAAATTGATTGTTTTGGTCATGTAGGACCATTTAAATTATATAACATCTCTTGGAAATAATTTACTTTTGAAATAACAAGTGAAATGAAAACTGTTTTGTGAGATTTCATCAGAAAATTCTCATCAGAAGCCAGGCGTGGTGACTGGGCACACACCTATAATCCCATTATACATTATTGTCCCCTGTACTAGGGAGACTGAAGGAGGAGGATCACAAGTTCAAGGTCAGTCTCAAAATATCTTAGCAAGAGTCTGTCTCAAAATCAAAAAATGAAAGGGCTGGGAATGTAGCTCAGTGGTAAAGCACCCCTGGGTTCAATCCCCAGTATGAAAAGAAAAAAATCTCACTAGCTTTCTTTCATTTGCACCAGTGTCGTTACTCTTATGGTAATGCTGAAAGAAGATTTTGATGACATCTCTTTCCATATGGTCAATGGCAAAGCTTCCAGAAAATACGTTTTTCAGCCAACTTCAAATGCTTTATCAGGAATTCTGTAAATGCTTTCCCCAATATTACCGATTATTTAGAAAAATTTACCTTCTACCCCAAATAATGTAGCATTTGTATTCATCTTCAAGGAATTTTTAAAATTTTTTTGAGGAGAAAGGACCTTTATACATTTACTAGAGATCAGTTCCTGAAGACGCATGACCAAATTTTATGATAATGTCACTATTTTTAAGAATCAAGAAATATCAGAGAAGGGATAAACTTGCAGGGGTCAGAACAGTGCAATAGTACTTTGTGGAAATATGGGAATGAGGGCTGACTTGAAAACAGATGAGATTTCTGTTTAAGATAGTAGAAAGAATATCTTGTTTAAGATTGTAAGCTCCATGTATGCAGACACCATACCTGGATTTTGTTCACTGACAGAACTGTATCTAGCCTTATAATTGGTATTTCTTAAAGAGCTGCTGAACTAATGGGTAAAAGTTTAGCATACCTCAGTACTTAAGTTTCCACTTGATGGGAATTAAAGATTAAAGAGATTCTTCATTTTTACTTACTTGCTCTTTTCATTTTTGTTTGAAAGACAGAAATTAATTGCTAAATAAATGTATGTTACAAAATATGAAACTATTTCCAATTGTTATGTTTTCACAGTGTTTAGCACATTTTAAAAAATAAGTAATATTGTAATATATGTTTATATATTACATTTATGTACATTATTATACTAGAGCAATAAATGACTTCTTTGTCAAGTTTCACTCTGCCAAGTGAGGCAGAAATTATGCATGTGTTTGCTTAAAATAAGCTTGGTCCTGGTTGTCTGCATACTCTATCCATCATCAATCTTATTTAATGTGTAGTTCAATGTAGTAGAATTAAATCCAATTTGAAAAATCTCATACAATTGGTGTTTCCCTCTGGTGGTAGGACTGAAATTCATTTTGCCACCTTTTGAAATTCAGTTGTGTAGTGTGCTTACTTTGAAATTAACATGTGTTAGGTTAAAAATAAGAAAATACTGAAGTTTTTTTTTTCCTTTTTTCTTTTTTGAGACCCTATATATGATATGTCAGGAATGATTCCATTAAGCATTACAAGGAACCAGTATCTGTAAAAACTTGAACTTTCCACATTCAGTTAGTGAAGTTACTCAGTATCACTTCACACTAGGAAACACAATGCCCTATATACTCGCACGCACACACACTTATGAACGCACTTGCCCATGCACACATAGCCTTCCAGTCACCTTCTCCCACTGTTTCAGAATTATCTTTCTAAAAGACATGACCCCACGGTGTCTCTGTGCACAACCCCCTGCCCTTCCCACACCCGTCCCTGTAAATCACACTAGCACCCAGAGCTTTGTCCTTTTTCACCTTTCCTTATTGCAGGAGCCTACTACCTGCTCCCACACTTAGTTCTGAACTGCACATATCTGTGCCTTTTCTTCATGGGTTCCTCTACCTGGAATGTTTCTGTTCTCCCTTTTCACCTGCATGGTTCCTAGTCATCTTGAGGACCCTCAGATTTCAATTCTCTATGAAGCCAACTTTAATCTTCTCAGTCATGTTGATTGATTCTTTCTCTGAGTTCCCCAGACATTGTTTTCAGACACCTGGTACATTCCCTTATCAAGATCTGCACATTTCTTCATTCAAGTAAGCTCCTACAGAGCAAGGAGCCTTCTATCACTCATTTTATCTCTTCTGTTAATTTGCTCAATACAAATTTGACTACACTTTATTAATGTATTATTAAGTTAGTCTCCCCTTGTTTTAGAATATTGCAGTATAATAGCAATATAATAGTTTCAGTGTTTTAACAAGCAAATATTAATAATAAGTGTTTAAGAAATGTTTGTTGAATAAATATTGAATGAAGACCTGGAGTTTTTATATTTTATGCAGAAATAGTAAATGAATCTCTGGGTTGGACATTTGGTGTTGGTGTTGACAGAGTTTTTAAATGGTGCCTTTTAGCTTTTCAAAACCTTTAGTGACCCTGATAGATGAACTCCCTTTCTACTACACTGCAGAAAATCTATAGGTTTTTGCTTTGTAATATAACACACACACACACACACACACACACACACACACAGAGATTATTAAAGCCCTAACATTTTTTTAAGCTTGTGAAAGCCAGTTTTTTTTAGTACCATCAATGAATTAAAAATACTTTGTTTATGACATAATTACATATTTGTCAAAAAGGATCTAATAGTATTCTCCTGGCTAAGATCAGGGCAAATATTTACAATATTCCTTGCCTTCTCATATAATAACTACTATATTTAACATGAGTTAACTGACTAGTGTTGAAATTATAAAGCACCAGAAGTTCACTTGAAATATCATGTGGACAATAAAAATTACTGAATAAAGTGCAAAATAGAAACAATTAATTGCTAAGCTGTCCCTATGAAGATAACTAATATCTTTTTGCCTCTAATCTGACTACTCAGAGTAGTCAGAATGGACTGCAGGAGAGCAAAAGGGTAAGGTCACCTCAGC